GTATGCATGTCATTTAATACATATATAAAAATCATATGTATTTTAATAAATGTGCCAATTTTTATATATCTCCTTGAGTTACAAAAATAATTAGAATATCAAATTATTTTTGCCTTTTAAAGGAGAATTTATGAAAATAATTTTATTTGTACCTGTTTATTATATGGCATAATTCCGAGCAATGGGAACACCCATGCACAACTAGCTGGAAGAATTTCAGAATCTGCAAAACCAAACCATTGAATGATTTCTGCACGTTCAAGATCAGTTTTGCCTTTTAATTGATCATTAGCCACTAAAAAATAAAAATTTTTGTTATACATTATATAATTTCAATTATTTAAATGTCACATAATTATGATTCTTACCATAATAAGCAATTGCATTGCTTTCTGTGATATACTTTCCATCACATGTTTCAAATGCTGGAACCTAACATAAAAAACATAATAAATTATTTTAAATTTTTAAAAGACAATTAAAAACAAAAAAAAAAATAGAGAAAATAATACAATTATTCAAATGATATATAAAAAAGGATATGAAAATTTATACTCTATTCTTTTCCCAATTTAATACAAATTATTTGTTTATATATATTGTTGTCAATAAAAAATATACCAGCTGGTTCTTTGAAAAAGACATATAGATGAAGAACGAAAATAAAAAAAATTAGAAATAATTCTACCTTGCCTAATGGGAATTTCTTTAAAAATGCTTCGGTTTTATTTGTCTCGCCGAAAACGAAATCATCTGCAATCTTAATTTGAGCACCGGAATACTGAGCTGCAATAAGCACTTTGTAAGCTCTGAAGTTTTCCGGATACGTGTAAAGTGTCTGAAATAAATCGAGACTCCATTAGTTGATTTCTACATTAAATTTCATTTTTGCTAATATTTATGTTTCTATTTATTTAACATAATGACGATGTTTAATAGTTCAAATTGAAGGAGAAAAACTTACTCCAGACGCCATTATATCCAGCTACGGGAAGAGGAAGTTGAAGGCCGGTAAAGATCGTTTTTCTCAAGTATATGAAATCCCTACACGTAATAATAGATATGTCCTTAAGACGTAGCCACAATGCATGCATATTTTACTTTCATGAAATATCTTAAAATTTTTTATTAAAGTTCAAATTTTAACGATAAAATAAAAATATTAATAGTTGATTTGATAATTATTAGAAATTTTTTTACAATAACTCTACAGTATAAAATATAAAATTAACGACAATTATCAAATACAATAGATAAATATATTATTTCGATTGACTAATCAATAAAAATTTATACTTCACATTAACAATTTTATATATATTGCTTATAATCAATTTGCTTATTAAGTATTTTCTTAAATGTTCCAACAATTTTATAAATGTTAATAATTTAATACTGAATTTTTAATTATATAAAACAGTATATATCATACATACATTTATTATGTACGTTTATAAATTATGTAAGTTTATAAAATTGAATCTTTGTTATTATATTTTATTTATTATTAATTAAAAATTTTATATAACTTGTTTTCATGTAACTTATATTTTTATGTTTCTTATAATTTTATTTTTTCAATGTTGTATATCTAATATACCTATATTATATGATCATAATCCAAAAATGGCAGCGTTGAAAGATGTTGTTCCAATATACAAAAATTTAAAAGAAGAATGGGCAGCTTCACCATGCAATTTGAAAAAGTGTGGTGAATTGCTCAATCAATTGAAGGTGATCTAGAAAATAAATTTTCACTTTTCTATTATTTAAAACATTTTTGACATTGTGAACGACATTTAACCTTATTTTTATAGTCTGTCAAAAATGGATTGTCATTGTATCAACTACATAATATATTGATTAATTAAATAATTACTTTTCGCAGGTTGGTCTTACACATTTGATGTTTCTTCCAACATCTAATAGTACAGCAAGTCAAAATGAATTGCTTATAGCTCGTAAATATTAATATATAATTTTTAAAGAAAAATTTTCTAAAACTTTATTATTATTATTATATATATAAACTTATAATTGCAGGTGATATTTTAGAAATTGGTGCACAATGGAGTATAGTAACTGAAGATATACCTTCTTTTGAACGTTATATGGCACAATTAAAATGTTATTATTTTGATTATAAATCAGGATTAATGGAATCTGCATATAAATATCACCTTCTTGGGTTAAATCTTTTATTCTTATTATCTCAAAATCGTGTAGCTGAATTTCATACAGAATTAGAATTATTACCTTCTGATCAAATACAATCCAATGTTTATATTAGACATCCTTTAAGTTTAGAACAATATTTAATGGAAGGTTCATACAACAAAATATTTTTAGCAAAAGGTAATGTACCAGCAGCATCATATAATTTTTTCATTGATATTTTATTAAACACTGTTCGGGATGAAATTGGAGCATGTATGGAGAGTGCATATGATAAGATTTCTATTCAAGATGCTTCAAGAATGCTGAATTTAAATTCAGAGGAAGACATGAAAGTATTTGCAGTGAAAAAGAACTGGAATTTAGCAAAAGATGGTTATTTTTATTTTAATACAACAAGTGAAAAGAAAACTGAAGAACCAATTCCCAGTGCAGACTTGGCTACATTAGCAATTGATTATGCAAGAGAGCTTGAAATGATTGTTTAACCATATGTATTTTTCTGTTTTTTATAAATAAATAAAGTTTGTCATATAATTATTATGAATCAATATTTTATATTTTTCTTAAATTTTATATAAAATTTTTTTTCCTAAAATATAATATAAAAATAATATTTTTTTCTTGATACAATTATATATTAATACTTATATTAATTGAAATAATGATCTTTTATTAAAATTTCATGATATAAATCATGTTTCCTTTCATCAATATTATAACTTCTTTAAAAATTAGAAGATATATTAATATATATAAATTTTTCCTGAATATAATTGATATTCAAAAGTCTCAAGATCATACAAATTCAGACCATAAAAATCTCGAAAAGAACATAATTAAAATAATATTAAATGTAATGCAATACAATTACAATACAAATAATAATCATACTTTCTGTCCATTTAACTGTCAAATTAAATGAAATTATTTATTAATTTTTAAAAACTGGAGATTTAATAGGAACCAAAAAATTTTTTGAAATATGCATATGTCTTTAGAAATTTCAAATATGTATTGTAAAATATAACATGAATACTTTTTTTTATTTTGTAAAAAATATTTTTTTCCTGAGTCAATAAAACGAACAAAATCGAGAAAAAACCACTAACAATTCTCAAAACATCTCCTCTCACACATTTCTGTATCATTTAATCAAGTATCTGCTACATCTACTTTTATATTTTTAGGTTATTTATATTTTTTGCGGTATCAGAAAAAAGAGGATCTGTTAAAATGCTTCGAAACTATGAGGGTGTTCGATTTCTTTCGAATAAGCAAATGGTGATATTTGATATTGGTAGCGCATACACAAAGTATGTGTATTTATTTTTACAAAAAATTCTACTATCTTAATACATTGACATTAATTTGAAAATAGATTTGGTTATGCGGGCGAGCCTACTCCACGTGGTATAATAAGAACAGAAATTAAGTGTCCAGAAACTAAAGAACTTCGAAGAATTTACGATTACAAAAACACAGAGGATTTATATCAATTGCTAGTCGAATTTCTTCATGCTTTATTTTTCAGGTACAAATCATATATTTTAGCATATATTTTATTTTATTTTGTATTAATATTCTATTTTTTGATGCAGACATGTTGTGTTAAGTCCAAAGGATGCGAGAATTGTCATTTTGGAATCTTTATTATCTCCTACACAATTTAGAAATACATTAGCTAAGGTATTATTTAGGCATTTTGAAATCGGATCCTTAATGTTGTTACCTACCCATTTAGCAACTATTAGCACTTTGGGTATCAATTCAGCTTTAGTTTTGGATGTTGGTTATAAAGAAGCTACATTAATTCCAATTTTTGAGGGTGAACCAATTCTAAAAGCATGGCAAGCTCTTCCTTTAGGTGGCCAAGTTGTACATGAGTCAGTTAATTAATTTATAATACGTATCTTATTAATTTCATACTAATATGATTTGTTTAGTAACTCTTACATTTTTATAATAGATATTTGATGAAATCTCTAAAAGAATTATATCCTAATGTAGATGTAACAGAAAAAATGGTAGAAGATATAAAAGTAAGAACATGTTTTGTTACTACATTGGAAAGATCTATTAAATTAGGAACAACAGAAGCTCCTAATCCTCCTCCATTTGTTAAATATCCTGGAGTTAAAAGTATTGATATTCCTGGTGAAGTTAGAGAAAAAGCATTTGAAGTATTATGGGAAAGGGATAATGATAATCTTAGTCTACCTACTATGATTTTAAATGCTATTATGCAGGTATATTTCTCATATATTTTTTAATGAAAAAAATTAGTTTTAGAACATGTATTTTTATTACAGTGTCCAATAGATGTTAGACGAGTCTTGGCAGAAAATATACTCTTAATTGGTGGCACAACAATGACAAAAGGATTTGCAAGTCGTCTTAAATCTGAGCTTTTAAGTCTTGTAAGGAGTGATCTTTATTCTGAAAAATTAAAAATTCAAAAATTTATGTTTCACACTGCACCTAGCAAACCTAATTATACTGCATGGTTAGGTGGTGCTATCTTTGGAACTGTAGATTTACCATTAAGATGTTTGACAAAAGAAAATTATTTAAAATCTGATAGAGTTCCAGATTGGGTCAGTTTGATAGATAATCAAAGGGACGAATTAATCACTTTAGAAACTTAAAACATTGCCTAATTCAATAAAACGATATTTTTTTTTTTGTAACAAAAAAAACATATATATGACATATATAAAATGTAAACAATTTTATTTATTTTCTATTTTTTATTTTTCATATTAATGTCTTAAAAATCTACGAATATTATTGTAATTTATATTACCAAATAAATACAATAAGAATTTTAAAATTTAAAATGTTTATTATTCGTACAAATTGTGTTACAGAATTTATGAAATTATATCATACTATTTATAGAGTTGTAAGTAACGTTAGTTTTTCGTTAAGTTGAAGTTGCGTTTTTATCAATTGTGATAGTGCGACGACCATTAATAAATCTTTTACATTACTGTTAAACATCTCATCAAACTGATCGCTTGACATTTTAGGCACTGAATGTACCATATCTAAAAGTGCACGACCAACCTAAAATAATACAATTCATAACAATTATATAAGAAAGAATTCTTTATTAATTTAAGATTAATTAAGTACTTGATTGTCTGGTGGTTGTTTTCCAGTTAAGACATCATCGACATATGCAAGTACTTGTTCCAACATGGAAGAAAGTTTAGCACTAGCTTCTGCTATCTGAGAAAGATCCATCATTGGTTCTATGCCTCCTCCTGTTTTTACACCAGTTATTTGAGCATGTGCTGGTAATTGAGTTTTGGAACAAAGTTGCAATCCAACAATTTCTGGTTCATAACATGTAATCTATAAAAAAAAAAAATATAGTTACTCTACTTTTTATTAATAAATTTTATACTTTAAAGAGTATATTTTAAAGAGTATTTTATAAAATATAATATATTGCATACTTGTACTTTCACTGGGGTGAACATAGAACCTTGTTTTCCATTAGGTACTCCTAATGGAACACATACATAAGCTTTAATTCCCATTCTAGTAGTATTTGCTAATGTTGTATCAACAGTTAAATGCACGGGATTATTGCATTCACGAACATAATATTCATGAATAACAGAAGAATGAGTAGTAACCTAGAATTATTTCAATATTTTCATTTATATTAAAAAATAAATTTAATAAAATTAAATTTTTTGAAATATTAATTACTTCATTTCCGGTTGCCCACCATCCGACAATATTTTCTTGTGCGTTAACTCTATGATTCAATTCGTATAAGTCGATTCCATATGTTAAATCAGCTTCTACTTGACTTTCAGATTCTTTGTGTGGAACACAAAAACAGTTTGTAACTTCAACCATTCCTTTTTCAGCAGTACCTATGTATATTAATTTATAATAAACTTTTTTATAAAGCAAAAAACTTAAATACTGTCAAATTTTGTAATTTAATAACTTTATATTATAATAAATATCATACTTTTATGTGCATGATAAACTTTAAATTACCTAATAATGTACCGATAACACGATGAGATTCCGCTTTTCGACGTTCGTATGCATCGACAATTTGAAATAAAACTACGGGATGAACTTTTACAGTCAGGTTAAGCGCCATATCTTTTTCACTTTTAAGTATCGTACATGATAAAAGGAAGTTTTAATGTATATTGACCACGTTATTTTTTTAACTTAGAATAATATTCATATAGAGAGGAATACACAATTATTATTTTCTTATCCATTCAACCAATGATTATTATCTAGATAATAAATTACTATTTACTAAATCTATAATAGATTTATGTAATTAAAAAAGAAAATGAAGTTAAATATATATATATATATATATATATATATAT